TGCCGATTTATCACAGATCGATCCGTGATGGCTATTTGCAGGCTAGGAAAGAATCTCCACTATGTGCACCTGGGACACTGTTCGAACATTTCGGACTCAGCCGTGATAAACCTGGTCAAGTCTTGCAACCGCATCCGATACATCGACCTGGCCTGCTGCAACCTCCTAACGGACCGTAGTGTACAGCAATTGGCAACCTTGCCTAAGCTCCGAAGAATCGGGCTAGTTAAATGCCAGGCTATCACCGATCAGAGTATACTAGCATTGGCAAGGCCCAAGATGGGCCACCATCCTTCCGTCAGCAGTCTAGAGCGTGTACACCTGAGTTATTGCGTTCAGTTGAGAATGAAGGTGAGTCTCGACCAAAAGTTCTGGTACACACGATATGCCATACTGACATTACGGCTTAGGGTATTCATGCTTTGCTGAATAGCTGCCCACGCCTGACTCATTTGAGTTTGACCGGCGTCCAAGAGTTCCTGCGAGAAAATCTCACTGCATTCTGCCGAGAAGCTCCCCCAGAGTTCACACAACAACAACGGGATGTCTTCTGTGTATTCAGCGGTGACGGTGTCAATCGACTTCGGGACCACTTGAACCGAAGTGAACCACAATTCCACGCAGAGGCAGAAGCTACGATGTACGATGACGACGAAGAACTGGACGAAGATGAAGGCCAGATGACTGGGCTGATGAACGCAACTGTCATCAACGACGGAGACGATGATTATATCGACGTTGGGCCTTTGAATACTTGATACGATACCCCCTTTCTTTGCAGTCGAAAATAAGCCCAGGCCCTCGAATTTCTTCCTTTTACTCAATTCCCTGTTTTCTTTTATCTGCGATCCCTAGCAGGATCAACCAGGCAGACATATTTCTACTCATATGAGCAAAGAGTTACCTATCCTTCATTGTGTGTTATTGTGGGAAATGCATAAGTACGCTAGCGGTTACGGACTTGGTTTATTATTTTTTTGTCAATGTGTAATCGCATAGAATTTAAGCAATTCTCATTTCTGTCACTCAATTCTCCAGCTCAATGACTGCAGTTTTGGTGTAGCAAGACTTGTGCATAAATGTGCGTATATAAGTTATGTACTGTAATGACGGTATCATAAGTTACCCCCGCATTTGCCTTTAATTCGACTCCAACTTCAACCTCCACTCCACCCATCCCCTCTCAGCGTGAAACAGCACAGGGTATGGCTACCTACAAGGCCAAAAACCCTCTGGCATTCACGCCGTGGCCGGTAACAATCATCACCACGGCCGTGTACCTCGCCTTGATTATCCCATTGCTGGTGATCCACCTCAACGTCCCATCCGCGCCTCAGACGAGTCCCAATGGCCTTAATCTCACAGAGGCATGGCAAGATCTCCAAAGCCTGACAAAAGGCTACCACCCCTATAATTCGCATCAGAATGACGAGGTTCGCTCGTGGTTGCTCGAGCGCATCGACGCGATCAAGCAGTCCGCGCCATCCACCCAGGAATTCCGCGACGCGAAGGAGGAAAAGCCCGATGTTATTGTTTTCGACGACCTGGTGTCCAACCTGACTTTCATCGATAGAAGTGTCGGTGTTTACTTTGAAGGCAACAACATCCTCGTCTACATTCGTGGCTCGGAAGATAGTAAACAGAATTGGTGGGAGACTCCCGGCCGAATGCCTATTGGCAAGGGAGGCGTGCTTGTCAATGCACACTACGACAGTGTTTCGACTGGGTACGGAGCGACCGACGATGGAGTTGGTGTGGTGACGTGTCTCCAGCTGATAAAATACTTCCTGACACCGGGCCATGCGCCGCGCCGCGGGTTGGTGGTTCTCTTCAACAACGGCGAGGAGGACTATCTGAACGGTGCCCGCGCATACAGCCAGCACCCGATGGCGCGCTTTGCGCACACATTTCTGAACCTAGAGGGTGCAGGTGCTGGAGGTCGCGCTACATTGTTCCGCAGCTCGGATACGGAGGTCACCCAGGCGTATGCGAAATCACAGCACCCATTCGGCTCAGTGTTGAGTGCCAACGGGTTTGAAAAAGGTCTTGTTAGTAGCCAGACGGATTATGTTGTTCTGGACGGTATCTTGGGCCTGCGTGGTTTGGATGTTGCTTTCTTTGAACCTAGGGCTCGTTATCATACCGATCAGGATGATGCCCGACACACCAGCATCGACTCGCTTTGGCATATGCTCTCTACTGCTGTTGCTACGACAGAGGATCTTGTCTCTGACACCACTGATCGGTTCGACGGACAACTCCGCGACGATGGAACTGTGCCTAGTGGCTCAGGTACTCGGGCTGTTTGGTTCGATCTGTTTGGGAGTGTTTTTGCCGTGTTCCGTCTGCATACGCTCTTTGCGTTGTCTGTCACTCTGCTGATCGTGGCGCCGTTGACATTGCTTATCACTAGTATCATTCTTTCAAGGGCTGACAAGATGTATCTCTTCCGCTCATCGGCGTATTCTGAGATCAACGACGACAATATTCCGTTGCGTGGTTTGCGTGGTTTCTTCAGGTTCCCGTTCTTGATCTCAATCCCTACAGCAGTGACTGTTGGATTGGCTTACATGGTGACGAAAGTCAACCCTTTGATTGCCCATAGCAGTTCATACGCCGTATGGAGTATGATGATCTCAGCTTGGGTCTTCTTGGCTTGGTTTGTATCTCGCGTCGCAGACTTTGCACGTCCATCAGCCTTCCATCGAGTCTATACCTGGACTTGGTTGTTCGTTCTTACCTGGTCTCTCATGGTAGTTGGAACCGTTTATGAGAACGAGGAAGGGCTCGCTGGTGGCTATTTCATGTTCTTTTACTTTGCCAGTACTTTCTTGGCCACATGGATTTCCTATCTGGAATTGTTCTCTTTGCCAACGAAGACAGAGTATGTCGGCAGATTAGCCGAATCACGGCGGCCTAGTACCCAGGGAAGCCGGCTTGCTGCATCAGGCGATGAGCACCAGGACGATGATGCTGAAGAGGACCCGACTGAGTCAACCTCACTCTTGCATGGCCCACACCGCCCCACATTTGCCAACTATGTCCGCGTTGGGGCGGACCGCGCATCTCATGAACTAGACGAAGAGGATGAAGAGAAAGACCCAAATGTATATGCACACGAACAGGGGTGGAGTGGTGTGTTGCCACGATGGACGTGGCTGTTGCAGTTACTTATCACAGCTCCCGTAATTCTCATGCTGATCGTACCGCTGGCTCTTCTGATTACCAGCGCTCTCAGCCAGACCGGTCAGGATGGTAGTCCCCAGCTGATTGTCTATCTCTTTATTTCCAGTCTTACTGCACTCCTCTTTGCGCCTATCCTGCCCTTTATCCACCGCTACACATACCACTTACCTATTTTCCTCCTCTTTGTTTTCATCGGAACCATGATCTACAACCTTGTCGCCTTCCCGTTCGCAGACTCTAACCGCCTGAAGCTGTTCTTCCTGCAAGAGGTCGACCTCGACAACGGTATCTCTACTGCTTCACTGACTGGCATGCCTCCGTTTGTCAAGGATGTGACCTACGGACTCCCCGGTGCAGCAGGCCAAGATGATACATGTGAATGGATTCTCCGAGGCAAAAATGAAGTCCAGCGATGCTCCTGGAGTGCACCAATTCCACGTGTTGTCGCCAATGCTGATTCTCTATCTGTTTCAAACGAGGATGCCGACTCTCTGGTTGAGGCTTCTGAGCTGTCGCCGGACTGGATTTCTTTCAGTATTTCCCACCCTCAACCGGACAGTTCGTCTGTCCGATTCGAGGTATCAGGCCAAAACACACGTAATTGCCGTATCAACATGGACGGCAACTACATTACAAACTTCAGTGTGATTGGCTCCTCCGCTCCGGACCACCGCTTCCTAAACCCGTCCCCGGATGGTCTGAACCGGATCCAACTGTGGAGTCGTACATGGGACAACAAGTGGACTGTTGATGTCGATTTCTCAAAGAATGACTCGTCTGATACCGACGAGGCTGACGACTCCTCTATCACAGGTCGCATCACCTGCCTATGGAGCGACAATAACCGAATCGGCCTCATTCCCGCTCTCGACGAGGTGAGACAGTTCAGTCCGGCGTGGGTGGCTGTGACCAAGTTCTCTGATGGGTTGATCGAGGGATCTCGAGCATTCGAGATTAAGCGTTCGAGCCTCGGGGCTTTGGGATCTTGAGTCTTGGTGGTAGGATGAACCTGGTCTGTAGCACCTTTTTCTGTGTACGATTTACGAGCTGCTTCGCTTTCCATGTATCTCTTCGATTGCGCTGTGCTTTGCTGTGTATCATTCTATCGTTGGGCATTTGTTGATTTATATTTCAGTCGACATATAACATACCCTTGACTACATCTTCTAAGTGCATGTGTTTGGCTGTGTGCTATGATCCTTCCCTGGAGTAGAGTTAGCTGCTGCCTCCCTAATATGTAGTTAAAACCATGGTGGACCGCTTATGCAGCCTCTGATTTTAATAATTTAGTCCATTTAACTTAGGATGGTATTAACGACGACTCCATAATTCATAAACAAGGATTCTAATGCCAGAACTCTAGATAGAGAGAGCAATACAACCGAGACAGGGAGTGTACAATCGAGATAATTGGGACATATCCAATAGCAACCGCATCTCAAGAGATAACTACTGGGAATCGGTCTATATACAAACAAAGATGAACATGCATCTACATTGCATTGTCGTAAATGAACCCTTGCGGGTTGCACATCTGTGGATTCCCCGTTAGGTAAGTTACTGGCTCAGCGGCTCAATAACTCTGGGTGAATCCTGGCGCCGGGCACGAGGCCCGGGGATTGCCTGTGGAGAGGTTGAGTTTCCTCAAGGTTGTCGGGGAGAGAAACCAGTGCAAAAGACTGGTTGATGTGTGATATTCACAGATCATGAAGTGGGATATTGGGAAGTCTCAAACGATCATCATATCTCATAAGCCGTGATTTCATAAAGAAGAAAAGAAGGTTGGGAGGATATTGCTATGACGGGCTCTATCCTCATCCCGGTTTCTCAGGAATTTCCCGAGTGTGGCGAGGTGGATAATGGCGGAAAGGATTTGTGAAGTCGACTGGGAGGTGATCGACATGATAGGCGCGGGCCTCATTGCTCCACGAGTTGGAGAGATCGGAATTGGTTCGTATGCGGTCGGAGGGTAAATGCTCAAACATGGCGATAGAAATGTCGTCGACATCCATCCGGGATGGTCTGCGATGGACGACACTAGGGAAGGCATGGGTCACATCGGAGGTGACGCGGGTTGCATCGACGAAGTCGGGGAGGTCGCGTGGTGAAGAAAAGGATTCGGGTTTCCAGACGTGATTGTGGACCAAGTGAATGAGTTTACCGAGGACGGCGAATTCGAGTTTCAGCTTGATGCTGTACACGACGCCTTTGAGCATGGTTTCCATGATGTAGAAGTCCAAGTACTCGGCGACGAGAAGGCCCACGTCCAGAATGATGATGATGAAGTTGATGATCAGTAGTTGGTACTGAATCTTGCGCTTGATACGGTCCGGGTCTAAGCGTAGCATGCGGACTGTTTCCCAGATGTATAGTCCTGAGATGATGAATTCTTGCAGACAGAAGCCTGTCATTTGGATCTTTTCCATTATATTGTAGCCTTTCATCCATAAGCCCAGGGAGGCGTCATCGGCCAGGTTGGTACCGTACGTGAGAACAGTAGTGGGCAAATGGAGAATGATTGCATTAATCACGATCATCATCAACACGCGACGTAGGACTCGCTGGTTTGATAGGACTAAATGTAGGCGCGAGTATAGGACAACAGACTGGCCAGTGACCATGGACCACCATCCAATTGTGAGCAAGGTAACAGGGAGCCATGGAACGTCGTCGGTGACTTGGAAAAATTTGAGCAAAAAGCCCAGCGAGTAGGGAACTAGACCGGCGGAGGAAGAAATAAACAAACTCCAAAAGTAGAGTCCTCGGTATTCAGCGAACGTGACGAAGAGAAGGATCATTAACTCGAAAGCATTATACCAAGTGACACCAGCAAGTGTCGCGATGGTGATCTGCATGCCCAGTGAAGTTCCATTATAGTGACCGCTGATGCCATCCCCGGCGGCAGTGAAATCGCCCATGGCGTTGAGTCAGTATCAGGGGAATAGTAGCATGGCGTAGATAAGTGTAGAATTCAGGTAAGGTGGGGGGATATAGGACAAACTGGGGGAACTCAAAGAGACCCAGCACCCGAAGACAGACCAACGAAACAAAAGAAACAAGAAACAAGAAACAAGAAACAAGAAAAGAGCAAAGAGAAAAGAGAAAAAAAAAGGGCCAAAAAAAGGACAAAGAGGCAAAAGCTGGGGCGCATCTCGTATATGCGGGGGCTGATCGGGGTTCCCCAGACTTGGACTAGCCCTGGAGGTAGTATTCGATAATATAATAGATAATATAGTGATATAGTAATATGGCATAGTAATAATAATAATAAACAAAGAGGGTCTGAGAGAGATCCTTATTGGACCTCTCTTTCTCTCTGCATCTCACTCGGGTATTACCTATCCAATTCGGGGGTCTCCATATTCTACAATGCGATTGTGAACTTGTCTTAACGTCGCTAAAACCTCATACTCAAAAAGGCAGGTTCAGGGGCAAAGATGTTAAAAAATATCTCGGTAAAAAGCTACGGCTAAAGGGGGAATAGGCTCTGTACCGGGAATTTCCAGCCTCGCAGGATTTTAACCCGCATTCATTGCGCCACGGAGAAAATCTCGAAACTCTCGTTTATTAGCGGATGCCTTTGTCCATAGAGAATTCGGTGAATTAGATGTCCTTGCATCCCTGCATCCTTGCTTTGTTCCAGCCAGTCTGGATTTGGTACTCGGAGACAAAGAGCCAAAAAAATCCCACCGAAAATCCCACTGTAACGTGGAGAGAAGATCACCTCCCGGATTTGGTCAGTGGAGACCTGAGCCCTGGAGGTCAGACAGATCTGCTGATGTCATCGGAACCTGGGAACCTTGGAACCTGGCGCGTGACCTGATTACTAACACATGAAGATGCCTGGGGTCCCGAGGTCCACTCCAGGGCTGTTACGAACACGAACACGAATCAGATTTGGATTTCCCCAGACTTGACTGACTTTCATTCATAATACTTCATCCAATGATGCTCTTCCTGAAACCCAAGCAGCTCCTTAATTTTCCGATTACTGATGGGAGCCTCTCTGACCCCCAACTCGCGTGTAACCGGAACATGGGGACAAATCCGCCCCAGGAACTCAGCAGTGTTCTCGTAATTCGTAATTTCATCATTGACCGCATTAAAGATCTGAAACCCTAGGCCATCCTTCCGAACCGCGAGATCACACATCTGCCCGAGATCACGAGCATCGATGTACGCCCAGCCATGCGGCGCCCATTTCTCGGGATTCTCAACGTATGATCGAAACATGGGCTGTTTGTATTCCTCCGGGGCGACAATACGCCCAATACGCAAGATATAGATATCGCTTCCATACCGACGCGCGAAGCCACGCGCAATGCTCTCACCGCACACCTTCGAGATGGCGTACGTATCCATCGGGTTTGCGTCGACGGTTTCTTCGACTGGGAAGGAAGGATAATCTACATCGCCCTCTGCAAAACTCACGCCGTAGACGGTGATAGAGCTGGCGATGATGATCTTTTTTATGCCAAGGCGCGAGGCGCCTTCGATTATGTTGTATGTAGCCGAGGTGTTGCCGCGGAAGGTTTCGTCGTCTGGTACGATCATGTTGCGAGAATACCCGGCCATGTGAATGACTGCATCCGGGACTAACCCCAATGGCTCCCGAAATGGCTCTGACAAATGGAAATGAGAACCAAGGGCGCTGTATACCTGTCCCGTGTTTGTCAGGTCGACACGCAAAGTGTGGACTCGCTCTTCCAGCTCGGCGGGAAGAGGAATGAGGTCGAGGTTCAGGATATCATGGCCTTGTTGGAGGAGATATCTGATAATGTGCTGTCCGGCTTTACCGGAGCCTCCAGTGACCACGATGCGCTTTCCCATGTTGTGGTCTTGTCTGTAGGAGGGGAGGTTGGATAATGCGGGGTATAGATGACCGAGGTATCTCTATACCATAGATTGATGTAAATACTGTAGATGGTGAGTTAGTGAGAGGCTGGTCAAGATACTCTAATTAAGAATTAGGAACTCTCGGATGTTTTTGGCCGGTCTTCGCTCTTGCTGTATGCACAGCGTGGAGCCGGAAGATAACATCCCGAAGTGTTCGGCCCGACAAAGATGGAACGAAAGCTTCCGGATGAGTAGAATGAGACCTATTGTTAGTTATTTACAAGACTACTCGGCTCACGCGTTTTTTTTTTTAAAAAAAAAAAAAATTGACAGACATTGCACATAGTATAACTAACCATGTATGGTGCCTTTCTTCTAACCCGAACGGTCAGCCCACATAACCCGCAGCATAGGCAATATACTTTAATAAAATAAAAAAAGAGATCCAGAACTATCGAGTTTGCGTTGGACACAACCAAAAATAGTACAGACACCCTTATTGATGGCTTGCGTTTGTTGGCGCTACTAGTTGCCTGCCTGGATCGCCCGGTGTCCAAGACAAACCTCGTCCTATTGGTGATATTTTTGGTTTGTGATACGACAAGTGCCAAGCATGCATAGCCCTCACCGACGAAAAATATGTACGTGCGTTTGCACTTTGCTGGCACAAATTCGAAGCTAGTGTGCCTGGCGTACAAGCTTTTGTGCTCTTTTCTAAAGATCTTTATGAGGTTCAAAATGAGGACCAAAGGCCAATAGTGAGTTCCAATAGTGAGTTGTTGTCTATAGGAAGGCTTGCATTAGCAGAGGGCTGAGAAAAAAACCCTCGGCATTCCCGTCTCACCATATGCGAGGGTTTACCCCAGATCACACACGCGACCATTTGTACAGACCGTAGGCTTCTGATTGGGCCATCTGCAATTACCCGCAGTTCCCAGGAGCCCCAATACATCTAGTGAGTCATGATTGTGTGCTCTGTAGGCAAAAGCTAAATACCTAAGCTCAGCCAAGATCATAGCCCAGCATTTTATATTGCGGACATGGCAAGGTATAGCGAAATCCAACTCCCTTGGCTTGACAGGGGTGGGGAGAATTGAGCCATTCGTCCCAGACAAACCTAGTCAATACCAGTCAATCTCACACTAGTTGACCTGCTCTAGCCTGCTTGATAATCGTAATCACCAAGTAATACCACCCAGAGCGTAGTATAATGAATATATTCACAACAATGCTTTGGGTAATGTGCTCTTGCTGATGGTCTCAACTAGAATACCCGCTACGGCCTTCATCCCATCTAGATTCGGATGAAGAAGCGGCCCCAATACAAACCCTCCAACCCAAGGTTCTGCGCTGCCAAGTGCATGCTCCTGACTGAGTTCGTGGATTGGGACCGTCTCGCACCAATCGGCTCGACCTTCCACGGCGACAGAATATGCATGTTGTAGAATAGACGCAACACCGCGGTAATGTTGAATTCTCTCCTGCGTCAGCGGGATATTCCGACTCGGTTGAGTTGCAGGTCCCAGAACAGCAAGATATTCAACAAGGAAGATTCGAGCTCCCGGGGCCCGTGTGTGTATCTGATCGAGGACTCCTCCTAGCCGTTCTGCCAATTCCGCTGGTGATAGTGATACGGACGATTGGAGTTCGGCGTCGCAAGCATCGGCGATCATGCCGCCAATATAGTTTATGTCATTTCCCCCAGCAGTCACGGTGATGATATTGGCATCTTCGGGGAGGCCGGAGATTTGGGGAGGGAAGGTCGTATTGAATGCGGTATTCTGGGGGTCGACTGTTATGTTGAGCAAAGTTGCACCAGAAACGGTCAGATCAGTGAGATCGGCGTTCAAGTGCTGCGCCAGAAGATGGGGGTAGTTCTGCCCTGATCGCAATGCGGCATGTGGTTCGATTTGTGGGGGGATGTCAGGACCAGCTGCAAATGAGCTGCCCAGACTTGCGATTTTGAGTTTCTTTGGAGATTCCATGGTCAGATGTGTAGAGGTGCAGAAGAACAGGGCAGTGTAGCTTGGCTAAAAGCTGGAGAGAGGTAGCTTTGGCAGAACCCACGGTTAACAATAAAGTTGATGCCTAAAATGTTAGGCCGAGATTACTCAGCCCAGCTGAGGTGCCCAGGTGCCCACCTCCTGGGCTGATCCCTCGGCGGGGCGCAGGGCCCGCCCCGTGACCCGTAGCCCCGGGCCCCGACCCCCGGTGTCTAGGGACCTGGACAACCTTCAGGAAATCTGGTTGATTTTCATCCGTGGAATACATACATGTTTCTCTCTCTCATTTTTAAAGATTCCTCAGTACCGGGCTGTGCATATGAATAAAAATGGAATTAGATTCGCGTAGGGTTGGGCAGCCCGGCAGTTGGGGGGCCTAAATATCCTCGTAACCAAGGCCACCTCTCCCGGTGGCCTTGGGATCATCAGAACTTAATCTCAGCTTCTTTCTTGGACAACACAGATGTGTCTAGAAATAACTATATTGGTGGATACATGTGTGGCCTAAACTGAGGCTCCCAATACAAGATTGGCTAAGTTGTCCTGCAATATGCTGAATGCTTACTATTGAAGTTATGCACCATGTATAGAGACGTCATGCCTTGGGGCCATACTTTGCCACGAGTAAGACATGAGGCTCAGCCTTGGAAGAAAATAGTGGGGGTGTATTCTATGTGTCCAATCTATACTGTTACATTGACTGGCATAGCATTAGCATCTAGGGATTCTATTTCGAGAGGTGATCGTCGAGGGACCGGAGAAACCTCAAAGTGTGGATGCCTTACCACATAGCCTATGCTTTAGGGAATAGACGGTCAACGGTTGAATATCAAGAAAAGATTTAAATATCCTCATTCCTTCCGTTGATGCTTTCCTTTCTATTCTCATCCACACAACTCTTATCCAACCTGCCTTTCAGAGTCCAAACATCCAACACTTTCAATTCAAACATCTTCTCTTCTCCAACAAGCCTATAAACCACCAAATTACAAACATGCAGATCTCTCAGCTTCTTCTCGCAACTGGCCTCTTTGCCTCCTCCATCTTTGCTGCCCCCATCACCAGCTCTGACTGGACCATTCGAGACATGCAGCGCGTCTGCAACGAGGAAAACACCTCATGCACCTGGTCCTTTGGCATTGACAACGGTTCAGACACTACCGATTGTACCTACATCGTGGAGGCCACCGATGCCTCTCAGGCAAACGGAGGCCCTAGTACATGTGGCGCATACACCGTCACCTCAAGCTGGAGCGACCAGTACGGTCCTACCAACGGCTTCACTACCTTGTCCGTTACCAACAATGAGACCGGTCAGATTACCTGGCCTGGCTACAACGACAAGCAGCTTGCGGACGGAAACGTCGTCAAGCCTGATCAGAGCTACCCTCCCACCACTCTCTGATTGAACGAACAATCCCAAAAACATGGTGAAGGACGGCTGATATGGTTGGCTTAAGCCGACAACGTGTTTTTTTTTTTTTTTTTTTTTTTTTCAAATTTTACCCCATACGCTCCTTTTAATTGTCGATTTTCAATCCCTTTTTTTGGTGCCCAAGTTCGATGTTGAAAGAACGAAACGGGCAGTCTGAATAATGTATATATCAAATCCTTACACTTACAATCTTTCATAACAATTGAGTTATCATTTTTTGAACATTTCAATGCTTATTCTGTGTTTGGGTGTAACCTTGAGCTGGCAGTATACAAGGAAGCTGAAGACTTTCCTATAGGCAGCAGCTCAACCACAAACAGTTCTTCTCCCCCTAGCCCTAAACCAATGCCCTAATTGGGTGCCATTCGCCATTGATCTCCCACCCTGAACCCCTCTGGGAAGGGGTCACTTGAATCAAGAACTACTTGCTTGAAACTAGTTATCCAAGCCCTCCCAGCAACAGTCGGGAGAACAGCCTGGTATTTGTCAACTTGTGTGGTTCCACGAATATGGCTGGTGAATTCGGTGCCAATAATACTGCGGTGCTTGAGCACCTCACCCTCCGCTAGCTGACCCCTCGCGTGAAGAACAGCGAGTCGAGCACATGTGCCAGTGCCACAAGGACTGCGATCAAAACGCCCCGGTGAGACAACAACAGTGTTGATAGCAGCCTTGCAGCCGTCCTCTTGTGTGAGAGGTTCCGTGAACTCCAAGATACTGACTCCCTTGATTCCGGGATTCTCAGGGTGAATAGGGGTATAAGAGGTTTGGACTGCGCGTTTGATACGCTCGCCAATCTCAACTAGCTGCGTGCTATATTGAGATTCGACTTTCAGACCCACAGAAGCTGCATCCACGAGCACATATATCATCCCTCCCCAGGCTATGTCAACGGTAACCTCTCCAAGGCCAGGTACAAGGACTTGATAGTCGAGTTCGAATACAAATGCAGGTACATTGTCAAATGCCACATTCTTGCATTTTCCCGCTTCACATTCTGCTTTTACGGTGACTAGACCGGCAGCGGTGTCCAGGGTCAGTTGGGTGATGGGCTCTTTCATCGGAACCATGCCAGTCTCCAATAACACAGTAGCTGTGCAGATTGTGTTGGATCCCGACATAGGTGCGTATTCTTCGCTTTCCATGATCAAGAACCCGGCATCGGCTCGTGGGTCACAAGGGGGGAGGATTAAATTTGTGTTCATTGAGCACCGGCCTCGAGGCTCGTTGAGTAAAAGTTGACGTATGTCGTCTTTTTCGTTCAAAAAGTGAACCAGCTTCTCGTACATTGTACTGCCAGGGACATCGAGTACTCCACCGATAATCACGTCGCCGACTTCACCTTCGGCGTGACATCCAACGACTGACAAGGTACGCGAAAAGGGCATGGTATCTGGTTGCCTGGATTTTGTTTATGTTTCGACAAGAGACGAGGTTTGGAGTCACTGTTATTTAATTGGGGCCCCGAATTTATTTCAAAGAATGGTTCGCAATTCACAAGAGTCCTCTAGTTATTTCTAGGCACAGAGATACTTTTATCGGACTAAAGCACAGACTTGAGAAAAAGGCTAGAAGACTATTTAGCGTAAGATACAGAGTGGACTCTACCCCAAGGACATATAATTGCTTTTGAGGTGCTTTTGACACGGACTGTCTACTTTGTCTCTGGCGCCGGAAGCGCCACAGGCTCCCATTTCCTAAAGGCTAGCGAGTTATAATTATGATTATGGAGATACAACATATAGTTCCGACATTATGATAGGGCAAGAACTGTCGTCGTGATTGATCAACAGGATTATCCACACAGCTGCATGAGAGAGGGGATCTAGGCCCTGATTGAGTGTCAGGTGAGAGAACAAATATTAGCAACATCGTGGACTACATAACCTTAACCTGCATAAGTATCTTTGTCAGCGACATTTAGATCTGTTGTCATTTTACCAGGGTAATCATGCCGATCAAGTGACCTGGCTGTACTACGATCTAAAGGTTTGGTCTGTCAGAGGTAACAAGGGAAAGTGTGATGCGTCGACCGCACCTACAACCTATGTAAATTGGAAGCGACATTATCTACACTATATTCGACTCTCCCAGTATTCAGGAAAGCCAGATCCCGACTAAGAATAATAGATAGGTATATGAATGTCTTTTACACCGGGAAAAGAGTATGAAACAAATGATCACATCGTAAATCTGCCTTCATCATAAGGATAAGTAGAGTATTTAAATTGCTAGAATCAGACAAGGATGCCAAGTTCACTCAATCTTGGAAAACAACATGCGACGGATATCTGGCCAATAAGTCCACACCAGAGTTGTAAAAATGGTGGTTGGAATAGCGAAGACCCAGTAAATCCAGAACTTGCTTGACATAGTCCAGCCGGAGTCCCCGCCGAAATCAAAAAATGACATGCTGAAAATAGCACATATGAAGGTAGGGGGAGAAACGTAAGTGTAACAAAGGCGATCGTTTTCATGGTGGCACTGTCCAATTGGGTCGCCCGACCAATTTCAAGAGTAACACTGGCATCATGCTGAGCCACGGTATTAAAGGCCAGCTGGATTTCATTTTGCAGTCTCTTTTCATTTGAAATGGACCGAGATCGTAAGTTGGCAATGAAAGACTGCCAGGATCGCAGACGAAGATGGATGTCTTCGGAAGCAGGAGAGGCATTATCTGGGATCGAATTTGTATAGCTCTCATGTTGCGTTAAGATGTGCTCTAGATTTTGCAAGGCGACGTCGAGTGTTTCGTTCACATGGATTGCATGTCGGGCGATGTCGTGGAGTCGTCTGTAGTCGGGCTGTGGTCTTCCTTCTGGTTTCCCTTCTGTCTCCGTCAGTCGGACATGATCTCGGATACCCCATACAGAGGGCTCCTGCATAAGCGCAATCTGCTCGACTAAATGTGGATAGACCCAGAATGGATCGTTGAGCCAGCTTTCATCTGGTTTCATCACTGCTCTCAGGAAACGTTCTTTGACAGGCGGGTCAAGATCGAAGGCGAGTATCACAGTTTGATTAGTTGAGGGCAGCCATCGTGTAAAGATATTTGTATGATACCACTTGAATCGGGTATCATGGTCTACCTTTTTCACGGCGAATTTGGACCAGGTATCTATAAGAATTAGTGATGTGTAACAATTTATCTTTAGGGTACTTACTGAAACCAGTAGTGACTCCAGAATCTCGCGTCTTTTCACATCCAAAGCCGCCATTTCCCTTGGAGAAATAATATGACCACCAAAAATGAGGCATACAAAAAGCATCGATAAAGGCTTGTCGACATTGCGAGCATCTCTCAATCTCGGTAGAATCGGCGACACTCGTAACATTAGGATTTTTCTCTAAACTTGGGCAACTTCACATACATAATACATATCTTAGACCAAGCAGGAATGGTATCAGAAAGGTCGTTTGAATCTTCAAGGTGGAAGTTCGCCCGCCGCGTTTGTCGCCAATCGCCTTCGTCCTCTTTGTTCCGCTGCAATAGTAGCAGATTCGCACAGGGTCGAGACTTCTGCTCCTGCATTTTAGTTTCACTAGATATGACTGAAGCTAGGAGATTTTGAGGTTGTTTAGGAGAAATCACATAGGAGAGCAAATCTCACTGAGTGGGGGAAATGAGAGTCGCGCAGAGGGGCCGTGCCCCCTCAGCCTCAAATGTGCAACGAAGTAGATTCAATTCCAGCTGGGATTTATTTACATTAGAGCTTTCACCCCATATTCTTCATTTTACCAATCGGATGAGCGAACCTCATCCTCCATTGTTGGCGGCCCAACATACTTCTCGTACCCCCAAACCCAGTACCACCCAGAAGCGATTAGGATAAATGCAACAAACACCACCGGTGCGTAGTTGACCGTATCTGCAGCGACAGGAATTGAAGAAGGCATGCAAAATAATGGAATGACAAGAATACTCCATGCTAAAAACGAATATGCGATTAGCGATGAGGACAAATCATGCTAGATAGTTCACGCTTACCCAGTGCTACAATATTGCAAACTAGCCCGAGTGTGCCAAGGTCAAACTGGCCATTCTTGATGTGTCGTCGTCCTCCAGCAAGAGACACAGCGATTGGGCAGGCATAGCTGACAGTCAAGGTAATAACACCAACACCTGTGAAGGCATTGAATGCAGTAGTTGACCCGAAATAAATAAATCCTAGCAATATTTGAACAATCATGCCAAGCATCATAGCGTTAAAAGGTACGCCGGCTTTGTTTACCTGCTTCCACCATATGGAGCCCGGTATGCCTCCATCGCGAGCAAATGCCCATATGCTTCGGGAGACAGCCGTGGTACACCCTATGACACAGAACAGAGAGAGCACTATCAATGGCAGGAGAAGCAGGAATGATCCAACTGGACTTCCAACGGCGGACTTGATAATACTCGGAACCGGTTGACCAGATTCGAGAGCGGCTAAAACCTTCGTGTCGGGGAGGACAAAAACCAATGGAATAAGGAAGACAAATCCGGCCAAGGTGTTTAGAATGACAGTTCCAACTATTGCTTTTGGGACTTGTGTCGATGGTTGCTGGACTTCTTCACACATACTTTGACACGTTAGCTATGGGCTTTTCATAGTGGAGAATGAGATGAGAGATGTTCCTCTGTCGTGGAAACAAATATGTAACCTACCAAATCACCATGCCAGTGGAGGAAGTGCTATAAGCTGCTTGCAAAAGTCCGACGCAAAAAGACCAACCTGCTGGCCAACCAGATGCGGGCTCAAAGCTGGTAAAAACATATTCGGCATCATGTCTACCCTCTTTCGCAACTGCGAGAACACATATTACAATAGCCAACATCCCTGCAAGTGTCCAGAATATTGCGAATGTCTACCCTTTGCATTAGCGGGGTCGTAGTGTCACAAATCTTGTTATACATACGTCAAGATAAGGTAGCCATTTGTTCCCAAAGGCCGAAATTGCGTTAGCAAGAAGTGTGACGGCGACAAATATAAGAAAAATCTGGTACGTTTCCGCTTGGAAGATTCCCACCCCTGGAGCAGATTCGAAAACATTAATACACGAAATAAGGAAAAGGGTACTCCCAAGATTAACTGCAAGTGTAATGGTGATATTTCCAACAACATATGACCATCCGCAAATCCACGAGGCGATTCTTCGATATGACGGTGGAGATAGCATAAAGGTCTGGTAGTAGACCCCTCCGGCAGTTGGATAGATCGAGGTTATTTCCCCAAGTGAGGCAGCCACACATAGAGTAATCAAAGAGACGGCAAGCCATCCCCAGATTATGTTGACGGGACCTCCCCCAACAAGAGGGTAGGTGAAAGTCGTAGCTAGCCCGTATGGAATTGCTGCAAGCACGAAGGACATAAAAGCTACCTGGAGCGTGGAGCGGTTTCGAACAAGTTCGGGCTCATATCCCAGGGCTTCCAGTACCCCATTTGCCGAAGTTTGTTTGCCTTCTTCGATGCTGGGGAACTCCTCGGGTGAATAGGGCTCGGGAGATTTGGTCTTCGAAGAACGACGCTGGTGGGAGGCGACTTCGTCTGCCATGATAGAGGTCTGACAAAATCGAGACGAGTAACAAACAAGTGAATAAACCTCTCCGGTGAAGGGATATTGACTGAGGCCGGGTTAAAAGGCTGAACTTTAGGTACTCAAATCTTGGGTGTAGTCGAATAACAGCGCCTACAGAAGAATTTTCGGATGCAATATACATTAGGAATTCGGGGTGTTTATCTCTTATTCTGGTAAGGGGAGACCCGTGCACAGTTACTCGTCGAACCTTGAACACTTTGACGGGTGAGGACGAAATTCACTCATACCGTGATCCCATATCTCTCCAAAGTACGTTCTCAAAACAAGGTGGATACGGAGTGGAGAAATGGAGTTATGCCGAGATAACGTTTGATAGGACATTTCAATGACCTAGGCAACCACACTTGAGGTGAAGATAAGACAAGCAGAGAGATTGGACAGACAATGCCTGAGCTGAAACATAGATGATCCTCTCCGCATTCCCAAGGTTCCAAGGTTAGAATGGGCTTGTTTACCTATCTAAACTAGTACGAAATGGGTTAGACTATGAACGCTAATGCACGGCGGCTACGCCATACCAAATATGGCCTCCATGTGGATCCTGGCGGTCCGGAGTTCTCTCTCGAGCCGTCCCCCTAGAACTCACGTTGTAAGAAATACAAGGGTATAGATTAGTGTAGATTAGTATAGTGTTGATTATTCCAGAGACCTTCATAGGTAATAAATAGTAAGCAATTGATGCAGTTCAGCAGTTGACAACTTCCGGTAGACTGTGATTGTAATTTGTAACATCAACGAGGTTTACCGGCTGGAGATATCCTTTCAAATTTCCCCTCGGAATACGGAGAAACCTAAGATGACAAGACCTAAACTTCTCCGCATACATGATGTCATAATAAGGCATGGTGCGGAGGTAAATCAATTCAGAGACAGCTGCCATTGACTGAGAGTTGGAACATGCGCATTCTGTTTCTTTTTACCACAAATGGCGAAACGCTCCTCTCCAAGACTTGTGTCGGAATCTGCCCAGTTTTCAAAAATTCCATAATATCAATTCCAACATACGTATATACACATTGCCATATGTATACCCAAGTCATACTCTTAAAAGCACTTGTACTTGATGCCACCCAGGTCAGTGTTATGTACCTGAGACGTCCATCTCATAGGACCAATTATGGACATTCTGATGGCCTTAAAGGTCATGATTTTCCAAATGAAATATTTCTTTACTGCAAATGACTGACACGCTGATCATGCTTATGCTGTATAGAAAATGCGCTAGCCCACATTAGGAAAACAAACCCGCCTCAAAGCGTATTGTTGAACCTTTTTTGGATTAGCGCGAAGGGAAGGTGCGGGGAGATAGACCTCGGGAGCCAGTTACCACCTGGGAAACCTCAGCCATTTCGCTTCAAACCAATCGGGGGAGATATCAGCAGAGACGAGACGTTGCTTATCGGCAGGTGATCGGATCCCGGTTCATCTACCGGCCTCAGAATGCTTTGATCGGGTTCTCACCCGATACCCCCGCCATCTCGAACTGCTGTTTCTCTCCCCCAGAAAACCAATATTCTCGATATCTTTATTTTAATTAGAATGGCAAGCACGGAGAGTTTACTTTCTCCGCAGAAGAAAAGGCAGAATCCCAACCGGTGCCGGCCAAAATCAAGAGGGGGCTGCCAGAGGTGCAAGCAGCGGCGAGTAAGTCGAGGTGAAAGATGCACAGTTTCTCCTTCATCTATGAAGGCTCTTTTTAAACTCCACATAGTTAATACTTATTCAGCGCAGATGTGATGAAGCAAAGCCAAGTTGTCAGGAATGCACTAAGCGAGGTCACATATGCCCCGGTTACCAAAAGCAGAGCTTGCAGTGGCGATATGTTTTCAAAGATAGCGAGGAGCCAAATCAGCCGACACCACCGGTCGAGTCTCCTGACACGGGTGCGATTGGATTTTCCGCGGTGAATAATTCAATACAGGAGGGAAAAGACAACCCTCAGAATGAAGCCCAGAATATTTGGGATACGGCCTACCCAAACCTCTTTGACCAGCTGCCAGATTTCGATGAACCAACAGATGCCTGGCTCTATACCGAGTCAGGATCTAATGGAATAGCTCTAACGAGACCTGATGCCGAGCTGGATGGGTTGTCGATTTTGCGTCAACGACTGGCCAACACATCCGTCCCCTCCTTTCTCATTCAATTACCAGTGATGTTGGTGCAATATTACTTTCATACGGTTTGTAACCAATGGTCATCGTTTGACTGCCCCCTCAATCCTTTCCGAACCATTATTAGCCGGCTCTGGAGTCGAAATGCGGCAATTTACTTTGCTATCCAGAGCATGTCAGCTGCCTCTTTGGCCAATGATTTCCCAACCATGCGAGCCATTGGAATACAGACACAACAGCAAGCAATTGCGTGTCTAAATAAC